TCTCGCATTCGGTCTCACTATCGATCTCACTATCGAACTCACTTTCGATCTCGTTATCGATCTCACATTCGGTCTCACTATCGGTCTCACTGTCGATATCGCAACCGATCCCACAATTGATCTCACACTCGGTCTCACTATCGATCTCACTATCGAACTCAATATCGATCCCATTATTGATCTCAATGGATCGATCCCACAATCGATCTGACTATCGATCTCACAGTCATCATCATCATCATCATCATCATCATCATCATCATCATCATCATCATCATCATCGGGGCACCATCATCACCATCATCATCATCATCATCATCATCATCATCAGCACCATTATCATCAGCACCATCATCATCATCATCATCATCATCACCACCATCATCATCATCATCATCATCATCATCGTCGTCATCATCATCATCATCATCATCATCATCATCATCATCATCATCATCATCATCATCATCATCGGGACACCGCGGGACACCAGCGGGACACCGGCGGGACACCGCGGGGCCCCGGCCGCCCGGAAGGAAATCATTTGGTCCGGCCGCGCCTCAGCCACACGGGACACCAGCGGGACACCGGCGGGACACCGCGGGGCCCCGGCCGCCCGGAAGGGAATCATTTGGTCCGGCCGCGCCTCAGCCACACGGGACACCAGCGGGACACCGGCGGGACACCGCGGGGCCCCAGCCGCCCAGAAGGGAATCATTTGGTCCGGCCGCGCCTCAGCCACAGGAGACTTTCTCTCGCCCGCCCACGCAGCTTCGCCTCGCCCGCACGGCACGCACGAACACGAAACCGAAATCGATTTCCCGGTAGGGGGGCTCTCCGTTCCACTTCGATCTCACCCCCTCACCTCCGATATATATATATATATATATATATATATATACATATGCATATACATAACAAAGTCTTTAAGTTTTCCTCCCGAAATCCGCTGTGGTATGGGGGACGGGCTCAGCCTCCCCTGTGGCTGCCGCCCTCGTGCCCCGGGCCCGGCCCCTCGTGCACGGGCGCGGCCCCCGCGCCCCCTCTGGTCAGGAGGGGAACAAAACACACAGAGTCACCGTTCATCGTCGATTCCCAGGAGAAGATGGGAAGCTATGGGAAGTGGGGGGGGGAAGACCAAACAACCTGTTATATATGTATATATACACATACATACATACATACATACATACATACATACATACATACATACATACATACATACATACATACACACATACATACGTACGTACGTATGTACGTACGTACGTACGTACATACATACATACATACGTGCACAGATTCACACATACATACATACATACATACATACATACATACATACATACATGCATGCATGCATGCATACATACATACATATATACATACATACATACGTACATACATATATGTGGAAAACTATGGGGATTTGTGTTGTTTGTGTCAATTTATGTGTGGGTCCCAGGGCTCCTTCACTCTGGTCAGGAGGGAAAAACAAACACACACACAGGCACCGTTCATCGTCGATTCCCACGAGAGATGGGAAAATATGGGAAGTGGGGGGGAAGACACAAACTTAGGAAATAGAGGGAAATAGGGAGACCCCTGGGATCTGTTTGTATATTTATTCTCTTGCACAGGGTGTCTAGAGCGCCGACCACTTTATTTCGGCACGGCCCCCCTCCATCACCCACGCATTCCACCAGCCAGCGCGCCTCTCCGCCCCGACCCCGTTTACTTCGGCAGGGCACACCCTCCACTCCGACCCCTTTATTTCGGCACAGCACACCCCCTCCGCATCCCCCCACCCTCCAGCCAGCGCGCCCTCCGCCCCGACCCTTTATTTCGGCACGCCCCCCCCCCCCCGAATCCCCCCCCAACCCACCAGCAGCGCCCTCTCCGACCGACCCCTTTAGTTCGGCAGCCCCACCCCCGCGCGCCCCTCCGCCCGACACTTTTTATTTCGGCACAGCACCACCCCCACCCCTTTTATCGGAACGGCACCGAATACTCCCACACCCACAGCGCGCTCCGACCCGACCCTTTATTTCGGCACGGCAACACCCTCTCTGCCCCGACGCTTTTTTTCTGGCACGGCGCACCCCTTCCGCATCCCTCCCCACCCTCCAGCCAGCGCGCCCATCCGCCTCGACCTTTTTATTTCGGCACGGCACACGCCTCCGCCCCGACCACTTTCTTTCGGCACTGCACACCCCCTCCGCACCCCTCCACCCACCAGCCAGCGCGCCCCCCCGCCTCGGACCCCTTATTTCGGCGCGCCCCCCCCCCCACCCTGGCATCCCCCCAACCACCAGCCAGCGCGCCCCTCGCCCCGTGCCCCCCTTTATTTCCGGACGCCCCCTCCCCCCGCGCGCCCCCCTCCGCCCCGACCCCTTTATTTCGGCATGGCACACCCCTCCGCCCCGACCCTTCTATTTCGGCACGCCACACCCCATCCGCATCCCCCCCCACCCACCCACCAGCCAGCGCGCCCTCCGCCCCTATACCTTTTCTTTCGGCACGGCACACCCCTCCGCCCCGACCACTTTATTTCGGCACGGCACACCCCCTCCGCATCCCCCCACCCACCAGCCAGCGCGCCCCTCCGCCCCGACCCCTTTATTTCGGCACGCCCCCCCTCGCATCCCTCCACTTACCAGCCAGCGTGCCCCCTCCGCCCCGCGATCTTTTATTTCGGAACGGCCCCCACTCCCTCCCCGCGCGCCCCGCGCGCCCCTTCCGCATCCCCCCCCACCCACCAGCCAGCGCGCCTCTTCCGTCCACGTGCTGTCTATACGCCCCCCACCCACCCATCACCCACCCACTCACAAGCCAGCGCGACCCCGCCGCGGATCCTTTTTGTTCCCGGCACAGACACCCCTCCGACCCGACTCCTTATTTTGGCGCGGCGCCGCCCCCTCCGCCCCCTACGCGCGCGCCCCCTCCGCACCCCCCCCCGCCCTTCAGCCAGCGCGCCCCCTCCGCCCCGAGTGTTGGCGCGGCGCCGCCCCCTCCGCCCTGACCCATTCATCTCGGCACGGCACCGCCCCCCCCACCCCGAGCGCCCCTTCCGCATCCCCCCATCCACCAGCCAACGCGCCCCCTCCGCCCCGACACCCCCATCCCGAGCGCCCCCTCCATCATCACATTCACCAGCCAGCGCGCCCCCTCCGCCTCCTCCCCCTCCCTCTCTGTGCAAGAGCCATGGCGCGCGTACCACTTGTTTGTGTGTCCCTGAGCCCCTTGATCTGGGCCCTCCCCGCCCCCGCGCCAGAGATGGGAGGGGGCGTCGGAGAGGCCGCGCCTGCTCCCCCTCTGCCCCGCCGGGCTGGTCTTGCCTGCGCCTCGGTCCGCCCGCTGGTCTCAAGTCGGGCGCGTCCCTCTATAGGGGAGATGTTCAAGAATAGTCAAGAAGTAGTCGGGGACGATTGTCTGAGCTTTTTTTGAGTATGTTTGAACATTGCTGGAGCATTGTTTAGGTTTCGCCCAAAATCCGCCTGTAGGGGGACATACCCGACCTGATGCTAGTCGGGCAGCCTGTTTCCGCCGCCAGGCTATGCCCACCTCCGCCGCTTCGGAGTCGTGCCCTGGGATCTCGAGGAGCAGCAGGGGTGGATACCTGCCCGCCCGCGTGGGCGGGCAGGTGTTCCTACCCACCGCCTTCGAGCCCTCGGAACACGACCCAGCGGCAGTGGATGCGGTCCTATTCTGGCGGCGCACTTTCCGGGGGGGATCTGGAACAGGTAAGCTCAACTCCTTGGATGTTCCTCGTTTGGGGCCGCGCTTGTCTTCACTATTACGTGTTCTTAGGCTGTTTCTCGGTAATTCTTCTGGAGATCCTTCGCCTGGGCCAGCTTTTGTATCAGAAGAGCTGTTTTTCTCCGCCTGGTGATCGTTTTCTTATTCAGTGTTTTGTTGATCGGCGCGGACCCTCGCACCTCCCTCCCCCCCTCCCCCATGGAGTAGAGCTTGGCTGTTTTGGGCGCCCGTTTCGAGCAGGGGGAGTCTCCCCCAGAGGACGCACGGTTCTAAACAGCCGTACGAAGCAGAGGTCCGGAGCCAGACCCTCCCCCCTCCCCCCTTTTTGGCCCAATGCCAATGTCGACACGCCGAACAAGAAAACGCTGATTTGCCCTTCGCTGACTCTGACCCTCAGGAGTCTGACTCCCATCAGCAGTTGCACGAGAGCCCGTCCCGCGCAGAGCCCCCCAGCCGCCTCCACTCGGCGCCAGAAGCAGAGACAGCTTCTCGGCAGGCGCGAGGGCTTCTGAGAAGCCCCGCCGCCTTCCGAGAAGGCCTTCTCCTCCTCGAGGAGGAGGAGGAGGAGAAGAAAAGGCACAATAATAATTATATTAATAAGCAGAAGAGACGATTAAGAATAATACCTACTAAGCATGAGAATAATGATAACCATACTAATAAACATAATACTATCAAAAACAGTAATATGAGTAAGAAGAAGAAGCATATTAAGAAGAGTACGAATATAAATCAGACTTAGAATAAGCAGGATCGTAATACGAAGATTAATGCGAATTATCGTAAGCAGGCTCGTATTAATAATGATACTAAGACTGAGAAGAATAGTCATACTAATAAGAAAAGTACTAGTAATACTAATAAGCAGACTAATAATATTAAGAATAATAAGAATAATAATAATATTAATGATAAAATTAAGCGTACGAATAAGAATACGGTTCATATTGATAAGAATCCGAATAATATGAAACATACGAATAATATTACTAATAATAATATTAGTAAGAACAATATTATGAAGACGCAGAAGTATAAAAAATAACAATATTCGTACGCATAATATTAATCATAGTAATACTAAGAAGAAGAATATTAATACGAATGAGAATAAGAAGACTAAGAATAATAATAATAATAAGAAGAAGAGGAGGAGGAGGAGGAGGAGGAGGAGGAGGAGGAGGAGGAGGAGGGGGAGGAGGAGGAGGAGGAGGACCCCCCCTCGCTCGCCGCCGCTCCAGGTTCTCGGCCCCCGGGCTCCAGTCCACGTCCGCGATCCTCTCGCCCCCGCCGGGCGCCTCCGCCCTGCGCCAGACCGGCATCAACGTGGTGCCCGCCACCGACCCGGTGCCCCAGGCCTCCGGCGGCGCGCGGAAGCCAGCTGGGATGACCGTGGGGGGTTCTGCGTGGATAGGGGGGGTACAGGTGGATGCCGAGGTGGGTTATATCTGGCCCAACCTGGCTTATAGGTGGGTTACAAGTGGGAACCCTAAGCCCCCCTAAGCCACTCGGGGAATTTGTAACCCACATATAAGCCAGGTTGGGCCAGATACAACCCACCTTGGCATCCACTTGTAACCCCCCTATCCACTTAGAACCCCCACGGTCATCCCAGAGGGCCCTCGAAAGCAGGACACTGCAAGCCAGTCGACTGCACTCGGGGGCGGCAAATAGGGGGTGATGACCAGGGGGGGGGGATATATCATGGCGGGGGCCATGGTGTTTCCCCAGATTTCAGAGCGCCCCTTCTTATTTCATTGCGTCCCTGGCCCCCCCCGCTGGGCCGCGCACGTGCCGCCGGTCATGATTTGCACCCCCCCCTCTTGGACACCCCCCTCTTGGCCGCTCCCGATACACGTAAGAGTCACCTTTCGCCGGAGTGGCCTTTGGTGCGGGCCCAATGGGGCCCCCCGATCGCCGAACGCGATACGATAGTTGCGTCTCGCGCGCTCGTTTGTGGTCCCCCCCGCGGCCCCCAAAAAGCCGCGCACCAAAAGTCACTCTTACCCAGGGTCACTCTTGCGTGTAGTCGAACCAGGACTTAGATGGAGAGAGCGGCGCATGTCAGAGCAGCAGAAGGTACCGGAATCGCTACCCTTCTCCCGCTTTTCCCTTTTGCGGCCTCCTGGGAGGCCCTCGTCGCCACCGCTGGATTCGCTGTGGTGTCCTGGTCATCACGCACCCCGGGAGAGGTCAGGGGAGTAGCGTGAAGTCGGGCGTGTCCCTCTACAGGAGGAATATTCTAAGACAGTAACAACAAGTAGTCAGGGGACGCTGCTTCGACCCTTTATTGACCATTCTTGAGCACTGCTTTGTAGTTGCCCTCCAAGATCTGCCTGTAGGGGGACATGCCCGACCTGAGAGAACCGGGCCAGGCGAAAAGGGGGGATTAGGAAAGGGGGGGGTACGAAATTTGCTGCATGCAGCTGGTTTCGGCCTCACCGAGGGGCCCATTCCTCGATACATAGCCGCCTCTGGCGCTGGGAGGCGCCGGGAAAATCAGCTACGTGAGCTGATTCTCAAACCCCCCCTTTGCTATCCCCCCCTTTCGCCCGACCCGAGAGACGCGGCATCCTGGCCTCGTGGCCTCCCCAGGCAGTGGAGGCTGCTCCGGCCCACGGCTGCAGTGCTCTCTCGGGCGGGCCGCAGGCCCATAGGGTTAGGTCGGGCCTGTCCCCCTGCAGGGGGATCTTCGACGAAGGAAAAAAATATCCAAAACATAAGCAAAAAATAGCTCAAAAATTGTCAGGGGAATATTTTGTGGGGTATTTGTTTACCTTTTTGGGGTACTTTTTGGGTATTTTTTATTTCTCGTCGAAAATCACCCCTGTAGGGGGACACGCCCGACATAACGCAAGCCCTATGGTCCATCAGGGAGTCCCCGCTCACGGGGGCCCCCGAGGAAGAGTCGCAAGCCTAGAGGTTGACACCAACACCAACATCGGCGGCGTGCTTCCACCAAGGGAAGAACATCCCGATCTCGGTGATGGTGGTGATACTTCTGGCTCCCGAAGTGGCCGAAATCTTGCCACCGGCACCGAGATCTAGGATCAAGCTCCCCCCTGTGGAGGCGACCCTCTGTGTTGGTGTTGGTGCCCACTTCCAGGCCTCCAAAGGAGGGGGGGAGCGCGATGGGAGCGGCGCTCGAGAAAGCAGGGGGTCTTCTTGTCGGAGAACGAACAATGACATAAACATTGAAACTCTGAGGTCCGCGCGGATTTCTCGGATCGGCGCTGGGGCCTCCTGGCGGCGCCTCCGGCGCCGCCCCAGGGTGGGGGGTCCAGCGCCGATCCAAGAAATCCTCGCGGACCTCTGAGTTTTTATGTTTATGTCATTGTTCGTTCCCCTAAGCAGGGGGTCTTCTTGGATCACCGAGCGCGTTCCACTACTTGCAAAGAGCCTACTCGCAAACGTCAGAAAAAAACATGTCTGCTTTGAAGTACTTTATCCTAGATCCCCCGCGGGGGATCCAGGCCATTTGCGAGTAGGTACTTTGCGAGTAGTGGAAAGCGCTCGCCTATCGGAAGCCCTCCTGCGTTCTCGGAGGCCTTCTTGGGAGCCTCTGATAGCACCCGGCCAGGGCTGCTCGCGGTCCGAGCCGAGCCGATCCGATCTGCGAACCTCGATCTCGATCCGATCCGGCACACACCGACCCCCTCTGTGGGTTGCAGCGGCCGATCCGACACGAACCGATGCCCTCTCTGGCCTGCCGGGGGTTGAGTCCGGTCCGCAATCTCAGGAATGAAATCTCGGGTCGGGAGGATCGGGTTGGGAATTGTGATCAGATCGTCCGGATCATCGCGTATGCTGAGTGTGTGGCTGACGCAGTCGTGCTTCATGTCTTCTCAACCCGATCCTCCCAACACGATAACTGTTTCTCTCGTAATCTCAAAAGGTCCGATCCTGATCCGATGCCGCGCCGATTCGCGGCGGCGAGCCAGGGGGGAACTGAGAAGGAGAAGGCCTTCTCGGAGGGTTCGGAGGTCCCCCAGCCTCCCGAGAAGTTTGTTTGGCCTTCCCCGAAGACACGGACAACTTTTGCAGAAGGCGCGAGGGGGGCTCAGAAGTCCCGTCGCCTCCTGCGCCACTGCTGCGACCTTCGGTGGGGTGCCTTCTGGGGCCATGCAACGCTGCATTGGGTGGGGGGGCCTGCGGACCACACCACTGGGACCTCCGGTGGAGCTCCCTCTGGGGCCACGAAGCGCTGTACTGGGCGGGGGGCGGGGGCACGCACGCGGACTGCGCCACTGGGACCCTCGGTGGAATGCCCTCCGGGACCTTCTCCTTCCCATTCTCCCCCCCCCCCCTCGCTCGCCGCCGAGATCCGCGCGCGATCCGCTCCGTGCCCGACCTCCGATCCGAGCGCTCCGGGCATGCCTGCCCTCGTGCGGCAGGCCGCCCCCCCTCGCCCCACCCTGGCCACGGGAGCTTCGACGCCGTGTTTTTTTTTTTGCTGTGTGTTTTTTGTGTGTTAAAAAACATTTTGTTGTTTTGTTTCTCGCAGCGTGGACGCCCGGGGATCTGTCGACGAGACTTCTGATGTTCCGGCCTAGACTTGATCGCCAGAGAGAGTTTCGAGCGCCGAGGGATACCGGAACCGGAGGGCTTTCACGTGTCGGGCCCTGGGAGGCGGTACTCGTTTGGCACTTTGCCAGCGTGTCGGGCAGCCATTGTTTCGGTACTGTTCGGGGTGCTCGACATTGTTTCTGGGATTTGATTCGTAAGTGCGCTGGGACCAGCATTAACAGGACAAGACAAGAAGGCCCTGCGTCCATGAAGGACGCGTGGGCAGAACGCGCTGCTGAAGACTTGCCGAGGCCGCGGCCAGCGCGTCTACGGGCAGGAGGAGGAGGAGGAGGAGGAGGAGGTGGAGGAGGAGGAGGAGGAGGAGGAGGGAGGAGGGAGGAGGGAGGAGGGTGTTTCAGATCTTCAGCTGCTCGACACTGTGTGCAGCCTGCGCCCCACGTGGGGGAGGCCGGGCGTGCCCAGGAGCAGACGTGCCCCTGGAGAGGGGGGGCCTCCGGGCCCACCTCGGGGCGCCCAGCGGGGCCGCGTTCGGGCGCCCACCGCGGCCGGAGCCCTGCACGCTGCGGTACCTCACTGGGGGCCCGTCTGCCTCGGGGTGCACGCCTGGCTCGGCGGCGAGCGGGGGGGGGGACGAGAAGGAGAAGGCCTTCTCGGAAGGCGGCGTGGCGTCTCAGCAGAAGCCCTCGCGCCTCCTGAGAAGGTTCTTCTGCCTTCGGGGAAGGCCCAGAAGAGAACTTCTCGTTCTCGGGAGGCCGGGGGACTGCCGAGCCTTCTCTGAGAAGGCCTGTTCCTTCTCACTCCCCCCCCCCCCTTCGCTCGCTGCCCACTGGCCCTCCCTAAGTCTGGACCCCGTCCTGGGGACCGCTTTCTCATCCCGCGCCGTGCTGTGCTGGCGGTCCAGGGGCCCGGCGGGGGCCCCCCCTGGATGCCGAACGGTGGCAAGAGTTGCCCGTCGTGCTCTGTTTTTTACCTAACAGCGAAGACTGATAGGTTTCTAGTGGTCTCAAAAGAGAGAGCATCATGACTCCCCAGGGGGGTCTGGGCAGATGCCGGACGGGTGCCGCGGGAATCCGGGGAAATCCGGGGACTTCTTTTTTTGCCAACCGTAACGCACTTCGTGGTCTTCGAGTTCCCAGAACTCCATTCCTGGGCATGATTTTGAATGCTCGGAGCCAACTGTAGGCTACTTCGTGGTCTTTGAGTTCCCAGAGCTCCATTCCCGGGCCACATTTTGAATGCTGAGGCAGGATGAGGCTGAGGCTGAGGCAGGCTGAGGCTGAGGCAGGCTGAGGCTGAGGCCGAGGCTGAAGGCAGACTGAGGCTGAGGCTGAAGCAGGCTGAGGCTGAGGCTGCAGGCTGAGGCTGAGGCTGAGGCTGAGGCAGGCTGATGCTGAGGCAGGCTGAGGCTGAGGCTGAGGCTGATGCAGGCTGAGGCTGAGGCAGGCTGAGGCTGAGGCCGAGGCTGAAGGCAGACTGAGGCTGAGGCTGAAGCAGGCTGAGGCTGAGGCTGAGGCAGGCTGAGGCTGAGGCAGGCTGAGGCTGAGGCTGAGGCTGATGCAGGCTGAGGCTGAGGCAGGCTGAGGCTGAGGCCGAGGCTGAAGGCAGACTGAGGCTGAGGCTGAAGCAGGCAGGCTGAGGCTGAGGCAGGGAGGCTGAGGCTGAGGCAGGCTGAGGCTGAGGCAGGCTGAGGCTGAGGCTGAGGCTGATGCAGGCTGAGGCTTAGGCAGGCTGAGGCTGAGGCCGAGGCTGAGGCAGATTGAGGCTGAGGCTGAAGCAGGCTGAGGCTGAGGCTGAGGCAGGCTGAGGCTGAGGCTGAGGCAGGCTGATGCTGAGGCAGGCTGAGGCTGAGGCTGAGGCTGATGCAGGCTGAGGCTGAAGCAGGCTGAGGCTGCTGGGATGACCGTGGGGGGTTCTAAGTGGATATGGGGGTTACGCGTGGATGCTAAGGTGGGTTATATCTGGCCCAACCTGCCTTATAAGTGGGTTACAAGCGTCCCGAATGGCTTAGGGGGTTAGATAACTCCGCTAAGTGGGCGGAGCCCACTTAGCCTGGATCGTTAACCCCCCTAAGCTACTTAAGGCACTTGTAACCCACTTATAAGCCAGGTTGGGCCAGATATAACCCACCTTGGCATCCACTTGTAACCCCCATCCACTTAATAACCCCCACGGTCATCCAAGTGAGGCCGAGGCTGAAGGCAGACTGAGGCTGAGGCTGAAGCAGGCTGAGGCTGTGGCTAAGGCAGGCTGAGGCTGAGGCTGAGGCAGGCTGATGCTGAGGCTGAGGCAGGCTGATGCTGAGGCTGGCAGAGGCTGAGGCTGAGGCTGACGCAGGCTGAGGCTGAGGCCGAGGCTGAAGGCAGACTGAGGCTGAGGCTGAAGCAGGCTGAGGCTGAGGCTGAGGCAGGCTGAGGCTGAGGCTGAGGCAGGCTGAGGCTGAGGCTGAGGCTGATGCAGGCTGAGGCTGAGGCAGGCTGAGGCTGAGGCCGAGGCTGAAGGCAGACTGAGGCTGAGGCTGAAGCAGGCTGAGGCTGAGGCTGAGGCTGATGCAGACTGAGGCTGAGGCTGAAGCAGGCTGAGGCTGAGGCTGAGGCAGGCTGAGGCTGAGGCTGAGGCAGGCTGATGCTGAGGCAGGCTGAGGCTGAGGCTGTGACTGCGACTGCCGTTGCCGCTGCGACTGTCATCGCGAATGCGACTGCGACTGCGAGAACAGCAGAATTCTACAACTGGATTCTCATCTGAATCTTAAGGGTAATGCTTCCAAACATGCTCCTACACCTCGCTGTTAGGTTGCTTTGCCAGGATATTTTTTTTCCACGGCGGAGGGAGGCGGGGGCCTGGCGCCAGCGTCGCCAGAGCATACCGACACTGCGCGAGCCGTTCCCGAAGCAAGGCCTGGCCTTTTCGAGGATCGCAGGAGCTGTCCTCTCTGCCTCGGCGGATGGGGGCGGCGGAAGGTCGGCGGAAGTGGACCGAGGCCCCTGCTGGCGCGGAGGCCGGCGGAAGGCTGGCGGGAGGCGGCGGAAGTGAAGGGTGCACCCCCAAGAGACGACAACGTTTTTGGGTTGAGGGCCTCCGACGCTGCTCAAATGCGTGCGTCGCCCCCCGAAAAGGGGCGACGCCCGCGCTCAGAAGCCCTGCAGCCTGTGCTCGGTGGCGGGCGCTGGCTGGCCGCAGCGCCGGGGCAACGGCGTACCGCAGCACTGCTGTGCGATGTGGTCTGGTCGGGCGCACGCCTCCGAGGAGGACACACACACATAACATATACACATATACACATATACACATATACACATATACACATATACACATATACACATATACACATATACACAAATACACATATACACATATACCCATATGCACATATACACAGAGTCCACCCGCATGGGAGGGATGGGCGACCTCCCCAAGGTCTGCACGAACGAGGTGGGCACGGAAAGAATGGGTACACTTTGCTCAACAGCAGTTCCTGTTCATTTTGAACAGGACTCGCTGTCCGAGCCGCCGCGGCCCGTGTCCCTTCGAGACAGAAGGCCGCCTGCCCAACAGCAGCCGCTGTTGGTTTGGGACAACATTTGCTGTTGGGCATTGTACCCGTCTTTTCCGTACCCATTTCGTGCGTCCACGCAAGGGTACCCTCGCACCCTTGCCTCCTCGGTCCACCCTTGGCCACTCTCGCTGGCCGCGCACCGCTCGAACAGCTCTGCAGTGGGCGTCTCCAGGGCCCCTGCCTCCTCGTCGCGCATCCCTACGGTGCGGGCCGGCTGCAGTACCAGCGTGCCCTTCTGCGTCCCGTCCGCGCACCGCTCGAACAGCTCCGCAGTGGGCGTCTCCCGGGGCCGTGCCTCCCCGTCGCGCGTCCCCCTACGGTGCGGGCCGGCCGCAGCAGCCGCGTGCCCTTCCTGCGCCCCCGTCCGCGCGCCGCGGGCAGGTCGACCAGCAGGTGGGCGCCGTGCTGCAGATCGACTGCAGCGCCGGCGCCCGGCCACGCGCAGAGGGGGGTAGGGGGAGGGGGGAGGGCTTCTTAGAAGCACCCCTGCTTCTCAGAAGGCGCGGTCCTTATGTATAGATGTAAGGCCGCCGCCTTCTCAGAAGCAGACTCCTTCTAAGAAGCCTTCTCCCCTCCCTCCACCCCCTTCTGCTCGCCGCCAAGGCGCCCTCGGGTGCCACAGCCTCACGTCGACGATGTGCGAGCTCTCGGCCGTGTGCGGGGACGCCGGAGGGCGCCCCGTCGCACGGGGCTACACCTTCTCGTGCGCCGCGTGCGAGAAGTCCGGGCAGCACAGGCGCCGAGGGGGAAGGGACGCCGGGCGCTGCGGCAGTGGGGGCCCATGCCAGGAAGCACCCTGCTCGCCTCCAGGGTGCCCTGGGTTTCTTGGGTTTCGATGGTTCGGCGATGGAAAGCGTGACGTCCCCGCGCCGAAAATCGGTGGACGTCCTGGGGTTCCAGTGTTGGGTTTCTTGTGGAAGGTTTCTTGTGGCCGAGCCCCTACTGTACCCTTCCCTCGTTTGCGCCGCTTTCGGGCCTCTTGGGACGCCCTCGTCGCCACGGCTGGATTCGCCTCGAAATTCAAGTCAGAACGCATCCCCAGAGAGGTCCAGGGAGTAGCGGTATCGGTACCTTTGGGTCTCTCCAAATCCGAGCCGATTTGATATCGATCTTGGCCGACCCGATCCGACCATATTCCGATGTTCCCGAAAGAGATCCGGGGAGTGGCGGTATCAGTACCTTCTGGTCTCCCAGCAGGTGCTCAGAGCAGCCGCGGCTCGTTGTCGCGTGACGCGCCGGCTCCGAGCGAGGGCCCGGCATCTGGAGGCCCGTGCGCGTCTCAGTCGCGTGCGGGTCTCCGAGGCGGGCGAGTCGAGACGACGGCGGCTGGCCTTCGGGGGGGCCCTCTCGTCGCCACGGCTGGAGGCAGCTCGGAACACCGGTGCGCTCGGGCCCCAGGAGGGCTCCCGGGGCCGGGTTGGAGCTGCCGTCGTCTTCGCCCTCCTCCGACGGGGGGAGGGGCGGTCACCCGGAGGCCCGTGCGCGGGCCCGGTCGCGCGGGGGCGTCGCTGCCGTGGAGCTGCGTCGGCGGCAGGGCCAGCACCGACGCGCTCGATGCCGATGGGCCTGTCTTCCACCACCACCACCACCACCACCACCACCACCACCACCACCACCACCACCACCACCACCACCACCAGAAGTTGGAGGGGGGAAGGAGGCGGAGGAGGAGGAGGAGGAGGAGGAGGAGGAGGAGGAGGAGGAGGAGGAGGAGGAGGAGGAGGAGGAGGAGGAGGAGGAGGAGGAGGAGGAGGACGAGGAGGAGGAGGAGGAAGAGCCCCTCCCCCTCTCACTTCTGGTGGTGGTGGTGGTGGAGAACAGGCCCGTCGGATGCAGCATCGAGCCTTGGCGCTGCGGCCGTCGGCTCTGCGAGAGGGCGGCGCTCCCGGCACCGCACCCCGTGGGGGCTGCCCTCGCTCGTGCGAGGCCGAGGGCCGGCCACGGCGCGTGCCGGGACGCCGCGCCTCCGATCTCGTGCAGGCCGCCCGGACGGGGTCAGATAAAACGACGCGAAGATCGGGACAAAATCGGATCGGGATAATTCGAAATCTCTGAGAATCGGCGGGTTTGGAGGATGTATTGGGCGCCGCGGCCGCTCCAGAGCGTTCCGGAACGCTCTGAGAGCGCTCCGGAACGCTCTGGAGCGATTTATCCCGATCCTAGCCCTGTTTTATTAGAGCGGATGTGGTCGGAGGATCGTCTCGCAGCGCCGATGCTGGGTCGGAGGTGGACAGACCTCCTACCCTGGCACGTCGATTGAGGAATCGGCCGCTTTCGCTTCGCGAGAGGGCGCGTCGCGGCCGTCATTTTTTTGGCGGGTCCGGGTCCGTCGGTGTCGGTCCCAGGCCGTTTTCACTAAGGGGAGGTCTACTAAAGGGAGGTTTGTTCACCGCCGAATGGCCGATGCTAGGGGAACGAACAATGACATAAACATAAAAACTCGGAGGTCCGCGCGGATTCCTCGGATCGGCGCTGGGCCCCCCCGGCGGCGCCTCCGGCGCCGCCCCTGGCGCGCTCCGCGCGCCAGGGAGGGGGGTCCAGCGCCGATCCGAGAAATTCGCGCGGACCTCAGAGTTTTTGTGTTTATGTCATTGTTCGCTCCCCTAGATGCTTCCGCGCTGTGGCTCGATGGTGGCGCCTGGTCCTCTCCAGGCCAACGTGGCCGCTGCATCGCCGACGCATCGCCGATGCAGCGACGAGGCGGCGCGGTCCTCCGATCCCACCTGCTCCGGCCCCATCGGGGAGGCCTCTGGACTAGGTTCGGGCCGGGCTAAAGGGGGGGATTGGGAGAGGGGGGGTTACGAAATCTGCTGCATGCAGCTGGTTTCGGCCCCACCGAGGGGCCCATTCCTCGATACATGGCCGCCTCCGGCGCCGGGAGGCGCCAGGAAAATCAGCTACGTGAGCTGATTCTCAAACCCCCCTTTGCTATCCCCCCCTTTCGCCCGACCCGATAGGTCCCGCTTGGCCGCGCAGTGTGGGCACCGCGCCGGTGCCTCGAGCCGAGCGGTGCAACAAGAGCAGCCCTGCAGGGGAGCCTGGGGGCCACTCGCGGCGTCCCATGGCGGCACCCTCTGTCATTCTTCGAACGGTAGCAGCGATAACAACGATTGCAACAGTAACAGCGATAACAATGATGACAACGAGGACAACGATACATCACAGCGATAACAGCGATGCCAGCGATGACAACGATAATATCGATACCGATCACACCGATCACAACGATCTCAGCGACAGCAGCGATCACCGACCACAACGATCACAACGATCTCAGCGACAGCAGCGATCACCGGTAGCAGCGACAACGGTCACAGCGATCGAGGACAGCAGGAGAAGAAGCATTGATTTGTCTCTGACTGGTTTTCCTGTGATTGAAGGGCCTCGACAGTTTCTGAGCGCACGATTGCTCCGCCTGCGCTCTCTGTCTCGCCGAAACCGTTCTGGCTTAAAGCTCTGATCGTGGGGCCCCGGGAGCGGATGGGCCTCCCGTGGCTGGCGGCCGGGCCGTGGGCTGCCTCGGTGGCGACCGCCTGGCTGACGCAGTGCCCAGCGTGCCCTGAGGCTCGCGTCACCTGCGGCAGCTGCCCGTCCTGCCCTCCGCCGCCGGCGGTCAGCTGCGGGACGTGCCCGAGCTGCCCGACGTGCAGCCTGAGCTGCGGCGGCGGGCCGGGCTGGTGGCCGTGGGCGCTGCCCTGGCCGTGGGCCTCCTGCTGGGCGGAGGCGGCCGCGCTTTGCTCCGCGCGGTGTGCTGGGTCGCCGAGCTCCTCGGGGGCCTGGCGACGCCTCGCCCCGCTCAGGGCGAGGACACCCTCGTGAACGACGACGGGCTGCAGGTCTCGCTGGCGGGGCGGCGCGGGTTTCGCGCTGTGCGCGCCTGAGCGGCTGAGTCGGGATGGCGGCTCTTCGCACTCTCGACGTGCCGGAGTCGCAGGTATGCGTCAACTTCGACGACGACGACAACTTCAGATGGCACCATAACGTTGCTGGTGCAGCTCAGTCCAGGCGTCTGGGTCGCGGCGAGCCCGGACGGAGAGGTGCTCGTGCTGGACTTGAGCGGGGACCTGGTCGTGGCTCTCCGGCGCGACTCGGCCTTCCCGCAGAGGGTGCGCGGGCAGGTGTACGCGTTCGGGCCGACCGACCCGGACGACATCGAGGCGCTCCGAGTCGCGGCGCGGGCTCTGGCGGTGGTGATGGGCGTGACGACGCCCACGGCGGCGCCTGGCGCTCTGTTGCCGCGCTGGATCGTCTCAGACCCTGCGTCGCCGGACTTCGGGAAGGAGCTGGACATCCATATCGCCGGGAACCCCAAGAGGCTGCTCTTCAGGGATGCGGTCGGCATCGCTCTGCTCAGCGAGGAGGAGGGCTGGGTCTCGGTGGAGAATGTCCAGGAGCGCGACGAGGAGGCCTGGCGCGCCGAGAAGCGCCGCGGCCCGGGGCGGGACCCCAGGATCTCGTCGCTGTCGAGGCGTGCCCCTGGCCAGCCCGTGATGCTCGCCGAAGCCCTGGCGAAGATGAGCGCGATCGACATCGACGACTGGCCCTTCCGTGGGCCCCGCGCCTTGCCCGAGCTGCTCAGCGCCGTGCTCGCCACAGGGCTCACCCTCACTTCCTACTGGGGCTTCTGGGTGTCGGAGTCCGGGGTCTCGAGGAGCGCGGCGGTGGCCTTGGAGATGCGGCACCTCTTGAATGTGCTGCACCACGGCGTCACCTTCGACCTCCTCGACACGTCCAACCTGGCGTCCTTCGAGCTCTTGGGGCGGAGAGTGCTGCAGATCCAGCGCGCGGTGAGGCGGTGCCCCCGGCACCCGAGCTTCGAGGGCCTTGGCTTGATGCTGAGCAGTTCGCTGGACGAGAGTGGAGGCGTGGTGACGTCACGCTTCGATGCCTTCGTCGCCGAGGAGCAGAAGGCACAGGGCGTGATCTTGAAGCAGGAGAGGCTGTTCCGCGAGGAGCAGCAGTCGGATGCGAAGAGGTTCGAGAGGGCCGACGACGACAGGCCGCCGAAGAAGCCGACGCCCAAGGAGAAGGCGAAGGCGAAGGCGGGCTCCAAGGATCAGGGTTGACGGCGCCGGGGAGGCGCCGATGTGGCTGGGCTCACCGCCTGGCCTCCCGCCGCCTACCCCTGGCGTCGCGACTGCCGACGTGCGCCAGGGGTGGCATCCCTCCGAGGGGGTCTCCTCCGAGGGCAGGACCTCGTCCGCTGTTTTGTTTCCTCTGCTTCGGGGTGATGACTTCCATCGTCATGCCCGTCGTGGAGAACGTGCCGCTTTGCCTCGGTACCTGGCCCGGCGTGCTGCTCGTGCTGACGATCGCGACCGTCGCTCTCTCGAGGCGATGGGAGCGCTCAACGGGTTGGCGGCCGCTCGGGCTGGAGGGCGCCTCGAGCCTCGCGCGCCCGGCAAGCAGACGCCGACTACCGCGCAGGAGTCGGTCATCAAGCGAGTCCGACGTCGTGTTCGCAGCTTCGGCGACCGCCCGAAGGACATGGACTCTGCTGGAGCCCTTCAGGAGCTCCTCAAGTGCAAGGACCTGTACTCGGCCATGGGCGAGAGCTCTACGCGCCGTGATTATGATGCTGGTAAGCTCAACGTGCTGCGACGTCCCGTCAGCGACCAGCCGCGCCAGCTTCGCGGAGTGGCGCCTCGCCACGTCTCCGAGGTCCTGGACAACTTCAATGTTGACGTGATGCGGCCAGCAGCCAACATCCCCGACGACGAGGAGATCGTGGAGCCGTACTGGGACCCGCTGCTTAACCCCCGTGACCCTCGGAACCGCCCAAGGCTCTTGGACTTCTTGCGGCGCCTGGCAGAGCGGGGGCTGGTCGACGGCCGCCGCAGGCGGAAGGCTTGCGTCAGTACGTTCTTCGTGGCCAAGAAGGACGGCGACATCCGCATGGTGGTGGGCGCCCGCCAGCCGAACCAGCTCCACAAGTTGCCGCCTCGGACGGTGCTCGCCTCGGGCGAGGCGCTGGGCTCGATCAACTTGCTGGATGCCATCGACGCCTCGCCGGAGGACCTGGCCGACTTCGACGGCTGCTTCGAGTCGCTCTGCGCGGGCTCGGTGGACCTCATGGACGGCTTCTGCCAGTTTGCCGACCCCGCCTGGGGCAGCTGGATGCGCTTCGATATCGAGGTCACCGCCGACGAGCTGGGGGTGGACTCGATCTTCGACGACCAGCTCGGCCACAGGGTCGGGGTCACCCCCGACGAGGTCATCTGGCCGTGCTTTGCTGCGCTGCCGATGGGCTGGAGCTGGGCGCTCTGGATCTGCCACGAGGTGCTGGTCGGCGCGATGGGCGCGGCGGGGCTCCCTGGCGATGGCTGGTGTCTTGACAAGGCTAAGGCCCGACTCTTGTCGGGCGCTCGGTCGTCAGGGCCCCATGCGTCGACGACGGGAACCTGGTCTCGCTCTGTGCGCCGGCGCTCGACGACCGCCTGGACAGGCTCACGGCCGAGCTGGATAGGCGGGGTTTGCGCTGGCACGAGCTGGAGAGAGCCCAGCCTGGGCTCGTCATCCTCGGGATGGTGCTGGACGGACGCGAGGGGCGCCTCCGGCACGCGCCGAAGCGGGCCTGGCGGCTCTACTTGGCGCTGCACCATGTACTCCGGCATCCCTGGCTGGCTCGCTGGCAGCTCCGGCGGATCGTGGGCCACATCGTGCACTACTTCTCGGTGCTACGGCCTGGCCTCAGTGTCCTGGGCGCCAGCTACGCGCACATCTCCAGCGGCGACTTGGCCGAGATGGTGCGCGTGCCCCCTGACGTGCTGGGCGAGCTGGCGACCGCGGCCGGCCTGGTCTTCCTGGGCGAGGTCGACATGTGCAGGGTGCCGTCGGACATCGCCTTCACCACCGATTGCTCGATGCAGGGCTACGCCGCATGTGAGGCCCGCCTGCAGCCGTGGGAGATCTTGGCTACCACTCGCTGGCGGGAGCGCCAGCGCTTCGTATCCTCGGAGGTGGAGATCGCGCCCGACACGGAGGTGCATGAAGGGCGCGTGGCAGGGCTGCTCGACGCCTCCGAGCCGCTGCCTCTGGAGGCCCCGCCAAGGCTCCGACGCGCCGTCGCTCGGCGGCGCCGAGTCGAGCTTGAGATTGGGGTGCCGCCCGAGCCCTTGGTGGAGGCGCTGCTGGACCCAGCGCGCTGGACGGGGCGGCGCCGAGGTGCGTGGCGCTGCCCAGGGCAGATCCACGCCTTGGAGGCGCGGGCCGCCGTCGCTCCCCTGTGGCGCGCTGCAGGCGATGTTCGGTTCCACGGCACCGAGATCCTCAGCTTGTGCGATAACATGTCGTCGGTCCTCGCCTTCGAGAAGGGCAGGGCCACCAATTTTGAGCTGCTGGCGCAGTGTCGCCGTGCTGCCGCAGTGTGCCTGGGCTGGGAGATCCGCTGGCGCCCCAGGCATGTCCCCGGCGTCCAGAACGTCGCGGACCACGGCAGCAGGGCGGCAGATCGCGGTGAGCTACGAGCTGGGCGCTACCGAGGGCGAGGGGCCCTCTCCGCACCCACGCGGCGCAGCCGTCGCGAGCCCGTGGTTCGGCCCTCGCGGGCGCAGGTCTATCAGATCGACGGGAGAGAGGCCGTGTCTCTGCGGCCTGAAAATACAAAGAGTCAGATTAGTCAGATTGGTCTGCCATCTCAGACGCTGTACACTCACATTTTTTCTCATCCAATACCTTCCGCAGTCGCGTTGCCAGCCAGCTGGGCCGAGAGACGCCCCGACACCTCCCGTCCACATCATCATGAGTGCTTCCGTTGTCAAGGCTGCGAAAGTCAAAAGAAGCCTCAGGAGGACCCGCTCAGCACCCGTAACGCTCAGGGAGGTGCATGCGAAGGCCCTGGTGATCTACATGTTCTACCCGCGGGACCTCGAGAGGACCCCGATGGAGCTCGTCAACGACTGGGTGATCGTCTTGGGGATGCTCGTCGTCTTGGGGTTGGGCCTCCTGAGCTTCCTCGGGCTGACCGTGGTCGCAAGGCGTTCTTGGAGATCTTTGCTGGCACTGCTAACCTCACTGGAGCCCTGCATGAAAGAGGCCTTCGAGTTCTGCCCCCGGTGGACATCAAGATGGGCCCCCATTGTGACCTCACACGTCCCAAAGTTCAGCGTCTGGTGCTACATTGGCTCAAAAGTGGCGAGGTTTGGTGGATTCACCTCGGCCTCCCCTGCACGCGTTGGGTGCCCGTGGGAGGCAATCGCGATCCCTTGCCTGTGGATCGCGTCCTGGTCTCGTTCACCGTCCGCGTCCTACGGCTGTGCAGGCGGCTTGGGATCTTCGCGACCTTTGAGAACCCGCCCGCGAGCCGCGTCTGGCACTGGCCTGCGCTCGAGCGGGAGCTCCGGCGCTTCGAGTGCCCCAAGGTGCTGTTCGACTCGTGCAGGTTCGGGGCTCCGTTCAAGAAGCCGGGAGCGATCGCGGGCAGCTTGCCAGGCTTGGAGGCTTTGGGGCTGCGCTGCTGCTGCGCCCGTCGGCATCGCGTTGAGCTTCAGGGAAAGGTCCGACATCCTACTCGAGGCTGGGTGTGGCGGACGACCCTCGCGAGCGCCTACCTGCCGAGCTGGTGCCGGTTGCTGGTGTCCCTGGCTGGCCCCCATGCGCCGGGCGGCGCCTTCGGTCGAGCCACGGCGACAGAGCTCCAGGGCAGGGCTCACGCGCTGGCGAGCGCGGCAGGCTGCCGAGAGCCCCGAGCCGTCTCGGCGCCGATCTGCCCACAGCGCTTTCGGCTCCCCTGGCGGCCAGGGTGGGCCTCCGCGCTCGACCCGATGCCGCGGCAGCGCTGATGCAGCTTCTGCGCCCTCGCCAGCTCGCCCGTCGACCTGGACGCCGAGAGCATCGAACGAGGCGGCGGCCGCAGCTTCTCCGGGCAGGGCAGCCGCTGGGCGCGCCAGGGAGACCGACGGGCGCATGGCGCCAGTGCCGAGGCCGCTGGCCAAGGCGCAGAGGCGGCGGCGCGCTGACGCCGCCGCTCGCGGCGACGCCGCGGCCGCCGATCGCGAGGCTGGCCCCGGTGACTACCTTCGGCTGGCCAGCTTGCGTCCGGCGACGCTCGAGGCCCTCGAGGTGTTTGCGCGGGAGCGTGGTCTCCTTTTGTCTTCACCGCCTGAGGCCGACTCGACCTTGAATCTCTACTTCGAGGAACTGTTCTTTGCAGGCGAGCCGCAGTACGTCGGCCGCTTGGCCCTGCATGGCCTGTGCAAGCAGCGAGGTTGGTCTGCTGCACGGCCGAACTTTCAGGAGGCAAAAGACGCCCTGGCTGGTTGGTCAACCAAGATCCCGCCGTGCTTGCGTGATCCGCCCCCGTTTGAGGCCGTTCAGCTGGTCTGCTCTGTCCTGGACAACGGCGCGGGCCTTGACCTTCTGGTCGCGCTTGGCGCCTTGGTCCATGTATTTTCGGCCCAGCGAGCTCCTCTCGATAAAGCCCGACCATGTCTTTGGCTCTCGATGCTCAGGACCCTCCGCCGATATTACTGTCGTTGTTGCTCCGTTGAACGAAGACAAGCCAGCAAAGAATCGCGACTTCGATTGCACAGTGAAGGCAGGCACTGACCTGCCCCTCCGTCGCCTGGCGCCCGAGATTCTGTCTCGACTCCGTGCCCGGGCGCGGCGCCAGGGCCTCCCTACTCTTTTCGCCCCTCTCTCTCTCGTGCAGTACGAAAAAGCTTTGAATGCCGCGGCTGTCACCGCGGGAGTGGTAGACCTTCTGTCAGTGCCCCATCAGCTTCGCCATGGTGGGCCTTCGCACGACGCCCTGCACGATGTTAGGCCCATCTCAAGCATTCAGGCTCGATGGCGCTGGCGCGCCCGTGAAAGTGTCAGGATCTATGAAAAGCACGGCAGCGCGCTTCGGCAGCGTTCGAAACTCTCGGCCTCGCTGCTTGCCAACGCTCAGAAGTTCTCGGAGGCGCGAGCTCGATACATGCTTCGTCGGGTATGTGCCTGACCGCGTTGCTTGCTATTGGCGCCGATTTTGTCCATCTTGCCTCGGCTGGTGCTCGACGCCACTAGGTTGTTCTTCTATTTCCCACCCGCCCTCCCTAGGGCATTTTGTATGGGGATGGGACTGGACACTTGGTCTTGTGGCTCTCTGGAGGTGCGATTTTGAATTGCACGCTGGCCTTGCGGCCATTTCTTCTTGAGAATCATCCGTGGATGTCACCACGGCGCTTGCCTTCTTGTGGCCGTCTGAAAAAGAGCGAAAGATGGAATCCAGAGTGCTGTCGCGTGTTTCCGCGACCCCGTAGGGGGAGGCCCTGCCGTAAGTCAGGAATGATTTGTCTCTGACAGGTTTTCCTGTGATTGAAGGGCCTCGACAGTTTCTGAGCGCACGATTGCTCCGCCTGCGCTCTCTGTCTCGCCGAAACCGTTTTGGCTTAAAGCTCCCACCCGCCTCCCCCGCACACCTGGACACTTGGTGTTGTGGCTCTCTGGAGGTGCGATTTTGAATTGCACGCTGGCCTTGCGGCCATTTCTTCTTGAGAATCATCCGTGGATGTCACCACGGCGCTTGCCTTCTTGTGGCCGTCTGAAAAAGAGCGAAAGATGGAATCCAGAGTGCTGTCGCGTGTTTCCGCGACCCCGTAGGGGGAGGCCCTGCCGTAAGTCAGGAATGGTCGTTGTTGTCGTTAGAGGAGCGCTTGGTCGGACGCGGATACGGGTGGCCCCTTGCCGGGGTGGACTTTGGTGCGTGCCCACAGGGCTTCGGAAGCGACGATAGGGGCGAATAGCCCATGGGGGAGCAATACATGTATCCAGGGGTGCCGATGATCTGTGTCTTCGACAAGGCTCCCAGGCGAATACGTGTAATGCCCGCCCCTGGGCTCTTCGCCCCTATCGTCGCCGCCGAGGGCTCCCTCCGGCACCAGCCTGCGCGTTCAGGCGCGGCCCCCTGCGCGGTGGGGCCGCGCTCCAGGGGTCACTCCTGCCCCGGGCCGCTCCTGGCGCGTGGGCGGCGTGTGCTTCAGAGCTGGTTGGGCTGCGCGGGGGCCGGGCACGGGCGAACCCAAGCCGCTCCGAGGGCCAGCCCGCGCCTAGGTACAGCGGAGGCCCATGCCAAGAAACGCCCCACTTGCCTCCGGGGTGCCCCGGGTTTCTTGGGCTGCGATGGCTTCGCGATGCGGAGCGCGACGCTCCCACGCCAAAGATTCGGGGACGTCCTGGGGTCTCACGGTGGGGCTGCGATGGCTCTGCGATGGGGAGCGCGACGCTCCCACGCCAAAGATCACAATGGAGGTCCTGGGTTCTCAGGGTGGGGTTTCTCGTGGAAGGTTTCTTGTGGTCGGGCCCCTACTGTGTATCCCCGCCTCGCATGCTTTGCACCCTGACTTCCTTGCATTTTTGGGGGGAACCACGACGGGAGGTCTGTGACAATCAATGGACGTCCTGGGGTCTCAGGGTGGGTGGGGTTCCTCGTGGAAGGTTTCTTGTGGCCGAGCCCCTGCTGTGTGCCCACACCCGTGGCTGTGAGGAGGCCTGTGCCTGCACCTCTGCCTGTGCCCACGGGCGTCGTGTCGGTGCACTGCACGCTCTCGTGCCCTCCTCCTCCGCCTCCTCCTCTTTCTCCTCCTCCTCCTCCCTCCCTCCTCCCTCCTCCTCCTCCTTCTCCTCCTCCTCGTGCCTCCCTCCCTCCTCCTCCTCCTCCTCCTCCTCCTCCTTTCCGATGCCTGCGGCTACGGCAGGTTCGCGTCGTGTCGACCAGCGGCGACCCCAGCGCGGGCGTTTAGGGTTGGACGCCGCCTCTGGCCCAGAATCGGCCCATCCTTGAACGATCCGGCCTTTTTGAAAGGGCCGATCGTTCAAGTTTGAACGATCCCCGCGGTGTCAGGAACCAATGCCAGAGTCGACACGACGCGAACCTGCCCTACGCACGCACGTGCTCAATGCTGGCATCGGTGCGCATTTCGATGTGCACGTTCTCGCTGATGCACGGGCTCGCCGCTGTTCTGGTTCTTACGCTTGTGCTCATGCTTTTGTCTCTGACTGTGCTCGTTCATGCCATCTGCTTTGCTGATAATGCTTGTGCGCTTGTGCCAACCTGGCTGTCAGGTCCAATACGCCCGAGTCTGGCTGGTATTGCCAACTGCCTATGCCCACGTTCTCCTCCACATGCCCGGGTTTGTTGTTTATGGCTCCTGCGATTGCGGCTCAATGCAAGTGGCTCTTTTGCTCGTTGACTACGGGGCGGTGGTGAGAGTTCATTGGCTTACGACCCCTTCTTTCATTGCCGCTCGGAATAGTTCTCGTCTGGCTTATCCTGGGCTAAGCTGGCTTGGTGTACCGTCGGCTTGGTGTACTGGCGAAGCTCAGCTCAGATAGCCCCACTCCGACTGTGGTATCAGAGTTTGATGTATCTGATGCTTTCCTGTGTCAGTTGGTTGATACTTTCCTTCAGCTTGGCTTGGGGCATGCAGATCAAGTCCGTATTAAACTTGTATAGTTTTGCTTGGCCAAGCCAGATCCGTGTTATACCATATGGTCGTGGTTCAGCCAACGCGAGTTTAGGTAGCCTACGTCGCCTAGCTGTGTTCAGCCAGCCTAGCCTGATGTTTATCGTAGCTGGGCTTCGTCAAGGTCTGCTCTGCATACGTGCATGTACACATACACACACATATATATATATATAGCATCATATCTCGGCGAACGAGAGCTTGACCGAGCTAATATATGTTTATAGGTAGCTTAGCTCCAGCTTGGCTGATCATTAGTTTTATGGGGCTATGTACTCGTAGAGGTCACTTTTGATGCAGTTCGGATTCGCTCATCTCACTCTGGCTCGTGCAAACTTAGATTCGCAAAGCATGGGCTGGCTTTCCCAAACTATCCTGTGGTGTTGGGTCCTTGTGTTGAGTCCACAGCGCCCCCCCATCACCTCCTCCCCTCCTCTTCGTGCTTACCGCATGTCGTTGACATGTCGGCGGACCCGCACACCTTTAGCGGCTCCATAGGGGGCTTGGTCTTAGTGGCCACGGCCGCATGGCGGCATCACACCCATCTCGGCACACTCCTCACGAGGATCGTTGCCCCACGGGGAGCTGCAATTACGGTTTCAATGGCAACGGCCGCATGGCGGCACCGCGCCCATTGCGACACATCCTTCACGAGGATCGTGGCCTCATAGGGAGCTCCACCGACGGCCTCAGCGGCCACGAACGTGTGGCGGCACCACGCCCAGTCCAGCGCACTCCTCACAGGGACCGTTGCCCCACAGCGAGCCCCAGCTACGGTTTCAGTGGCCAGGACAGCACGGCGCCACCTCGCGCGTTCGGGCACACACCCCGCGAGGAGCGTGGCTTTTTCGGCAGACCCCTATATGCCACAGGGAGGTTGAGCATCAACGCGACAGGAAGCTGCTAAGGTTTGGGCCACTCGCCATGAACATGATCGAAGACGCCTACGGCGAACCAACGCCGCCCCCTGCCTTTTGGAAGCGCTTATGAGGCCGACCGTTGGGCCACAGTCTGGCCAAGCAATTGGACTATGTGCCCCCCCAGCCGTTGTGGAAAACGGTGGGGCAACACTATGTACGGTGAGGGAGAGAGATGGGGGAGTCCCAGGGGGAGCAACGGAGGGAGAGATGGCGATAGAGATAGAGAGAGGGGGAGGGAGAGAGAGAGAGAGAGAACACAACAAACATCGACAGAGAGAAACATACAACATATACCAGGATAAAGGGGGGATAGTAGCAAGGAGGAGGGGACGGAGGAGGCCTCTTCGGGGCCTCTGGGGGGGGCCCTTCTGGGGCCTCCTGGTGGCTTTCTGGGGGTCTCTTGGGGGCATCCAGGGAGGGGCTTGGGTAGGCCTCATGGGGTCTCGGGAGCCCCTTGGGCTGACTTAGGGTTCTCCTTGACCATCTGACGCTTTCGGTTGTTGTCTTGGAGGTTTACTGGGCCGTCCTGCGGCCTTCTTGGGGCCGTCCGTATTTGGGGTATCTTGGGCCGTCCTGAGGTCCTCTTGGACCCTTGTGGCCCTCTTGAAGGCCTCTGGGGTCGTCGTGGGCTGTCGAACACCCAGGAGCGCGAGAACGCCATCATCTGTGTCGCCAAGAAGCGGGACAACAGCTATGTTGGCATGTTTGAACATATCGGGGGCCGTATCGGGAGCCCCTTGGGCCGTCTTGAGGCCAGCTGCGGCCGTCTTGGAGCCATCTTGGGCCATCCGGGGCGTTACCATCATCTCTGGCGGGCAAGCCGACGGAGAGTTGCCCGCCCTGTTTTTTCCCTTGTGTCCGTCTCGGTCGGCCGGGACCACGCTGGGACCCCTTTGGAGGGGTTCAAACGGTTATCGTCAGGCACGCCACCAACCCGTCTTGCAAGCAACGGTCGGGAGCGGATTGAAGACGCCTGCGGCGAATCACCGCCGCTCCGTACCATTTGGAAGTGGCTTAGCTTGGCTCATCTTGGTGTCACCATACCGCGCCACAGCTGGGTTCGCCACGGTCAGCTCGTATGGGCGTAGCTTCGTATTGTTTCACTTTGGATGTCATCGCTCAGCTTACCTTGGCTTCGCCTTATTATCCCTTCAGCTTCAGCTTATGATCATTACCTAGACGTGATTTTCGCGCCGCTCATTCGCCATCGTCGTCCCTACCTGACTCTTGCTGCTCCACCTGCTCTTCCCTGTCCTCCTCTTGCTCCCCCTCCTCCACGTCATCCTCCTCGCCCTTCCCCTCTTGATCCTCCTCCTGACCCTTTTCCTCGCTCTCCCCTTCCCCTATCCTATTCCTCTTTATTTCATCCTCTTCCTCCTCCGCCTCCTCCTTGTCCTCCCCTTCCCCCTCCCTCTCCACCGCATGTTCCTCCCCCCGCCCTCTCATCTCGACACTCCAACCCTCCATGCAGCACCAGAACACTTTCAGGAAGTCTCAGATGCAATCCAGCAGCCACCCGCAACTCTTCCGGTTATCTCTTGACACCTCAAGGTGAACTTCCCACATATCTCCCTTCCCTTCCCTCTCTTCTCTTCCTTATCATCTTCATCCCACCCTCCTTCGCGTCCCCATCCCCGTTTTCCTGCTCGTCGTCGCCGCCGCGGCCGCTGCCGTCATCGTCGTGATCTCGGCCGTCACCGCAGTCGTCTTCTTCATCTTTTCCTGCTCCCTATTGCACTTTTCCTTGTCGCCGTCGCCGCCTCCGTCCCCGCCTTCGCCGCCATGACCTCCGTCCTCGTCTTCGCAGGCACCAGCGCCGCCGTGGTTGTCGTCGCCGTGGCCTCTGCCGCCGTCGCCGCCGCCGTCGTCGTCGTCGTCGTCGCCGAAATCTTCGTGGCCGCCCTCCTCCGCATCCTCGCCGCCGCCGCCGCCGTCATGATGACATCCCTCAGCGTCGTCGTCGTCGTTTTCGTCGGCGTCGGCGGCGTCGGCGTCGCCGTCGGCGTCGGCATCGGCGTCGGCGCCGGCATCGGCGTCGACGTCGTCGTCGGCGTCGTCGTCGTGACCGCCGCCGCCGTCTTCGTCGACGTCGTCGGCGTCGTCGGGATCGTGATCGTGACCGTCGTCGTCGCCTTCGGCGTCGGCGTCGGCGCTGGCATCGGCGCCAGCGTCGTCGGCGTCGTCGTCGTCGTGACCGCTGCCGCCGCCGTCGGCGTCGGCGTCGTCGTCGTCGGCGCCGCCGCCGTCGGCGTCGCCGCCGTCGGCGTCGTCGTCGTGATCGTGATCGTGATCGTCGTCGTCGTCGTCGTCGTCGTCGCCGTCGCCGTCGCCGCCGTCGTCGTCCTCGTCGTCGTCGTGACCGCCGCCGCGGCAGACCTGGGCTCGGGCGGCGCGCCCGCGGGGCGGGCCACCCCACGGCCGCGCATTGGCCACCCCTCGGCGGCCCTGGCCAGCGGTATCTGGTGGCAGGCGGCAGGCGCCCGCGGGCCGATGCTGGAGCAGGCGTTCCGCCCTCCTCCTCTTCCTCCTCCTCCTCCTCCTCCTCCTCCTCCTCCTCCTCGTCCTCCCTCCTCCTCCTCCTCCTCCTCCTCCTTCTTCCTCCTCCTCCTCCTCCTCCTCCTCCTCCCTCCTCCTCCTCCCTCCTCCTCCTCCTCCTCCTAGTCCTCCTCCTCCCCCTCCTCCTGCTCCTCCTCCTCCCTCCTCCTCTTCCTCCTGCGGGGGGGGGGAGGAGCGAGGGGGAGCGGCCGAGGGGGGGCTTGAGGTTCGAGGTTTTCGGCCGTTCTCGTCGCTTCTGCGCGGCTCTCCGGCCTCGGGGTGCCTTCCGGCAGCTGCGCCTCGCCGAGAGCGTTCTGGGGATGCCGGGATCGTCCCAAACGGCCGTTGGAGATTCGAGTCATGACCCGAAGAGGACCGAGGAGAACCGAGGAATCGCAAACATGGAGCAAGGCGCGTGGATTGGCGGCGGGCTCCGTTTCCACCTGAAACTGGACCGCTCCGTCGCGAGACGAGGCGGCATTGGCCGAACATTTTGAGGGGTGCCTTCCCCGATCCGTGGATCGGGCGTCCATGCGCCAGATCCACGGATCCGTAATCCATGTTATCAAGCGCCATGGGACTGTAATGGAATGGCTACGTGGCGGCTTCAACGAAGAAACTATCCATACCAATGCGCGCAGCATGGGGGAGTGAAGAGCGTTCCGTTGCACGGGAAATCCGCGCAGCTTCTCTGGCAGAGGGAGGAGGGAGGAGGGAGGACGAGGAAGGAGGGAGGAGGAGGAAGGAGGAAGATGGAGGAGGAGGAGGAGGAGGAGATCACGAGGAGGACGAGGGGGCGATGCATCCCCATCCAAGCCTGTCCTCGCCCTGCCTTCGCCTCAAGGGGCGCGCGGGGCTCGCGCGGGGCAGGCGGAGCTCCTGCCCGGGCTCGAGGCGCTGCTGGTGGACAGGGCCCGGCAGACGGCGGTGCTGGCGGCCGCCTCTGCCAGCGGCCCTGCGATCGTCCTCCGTCGCCGAGCGAGGTCCACTGCTCGCAGAGTGCCTGCTCGCACGTGTCCGAACGACGCGCAGACGCACACGCACACGCACACGCACAAAACACAACACACGACACAACACACAGCACACAGCACAACAACACTCAGCACACACGACACACAGCACTCGACACTCAACACACACAACACACAACACACAAAAGACAACACGCAACACACGATCCACAACACACAACACACAACAGACAACACACAACACAGCACACAACACACAACACGCAACTCACAATACACAACACACAGCACACAACAGATAGCACACAACACACGACACACAACACACAACACACAAATCACAACACACAGCACACAGCACACACACACACGCCGCATAACACACTCCACACAGCACACAGCACGTAGCACACAGCACACAACCCACAACACACAACACACGACACACACTACACATCACACAACGCACAACTCACAACACACAGCAAACAACTCACAACACACAGCAAACAGCACACAACACACAGCACACAGCACACAACACACAACACACAATATACAACATGCGGCATACAACACACACACACGCACCAAACACCGCACACCGCACAACACACAACGCAAACCACACAATACACAGCACACAACATGCAGCACAAGACAACGCACACCACACAACACACAACTTACAACACACACTCAACACACACTACACAACACACGACACACGACACACAGCACGCAACACACACACACAACACACACACCACACAACACACATAACACGCAGCTCACAATGCATACCACAACACACAGCACACAGCACACAGCGTACAACACACAACGCACACCACACACAACACACAACACAACACGCACACCACACACATCACACCACACAGCACGGCGACACACAGCACACAGCACACAACACATAACACAACAACACACAACACACAGCACACACCACACAAAGCACAACACACAGCACACAGCATGCAGCACACAACACACAGTACACAGCATCGTGCATACGCCACACAACACACTATACAGCACGCAGCACACAAAACACACAACACACGACACACAACACAACACACAACACTGAACACACACAGCTCACAGCAAACTCCAACACAAGCGCACAACACACAACAGTCAACACGGAGCACACAGCACACAACACACAACACACAAAACGCAACACACAAAACCCAACACGCACAACACGTAACACACAACACATACATCACACCACGCAACACACCACCCAGTACAACACACAGCACACAACACACAACACACAACACACGACAAACAACATACAACACTCAACGCATAACGCACAACAAACAACACACAACATACAACATACAACGTACAACGCACAGCACACAGCATACAGCACACAGCACACATCACACAACACACAACACGCAGCACACTACACACTACACACAACAGACACAACATACAACACACAACGCTCACAACACACAACACACACACACACCACACAACGGACAACACAGCGCATAACACACAACACATAACACACAGCACACTACACACTACACACAGCAGACACCACACACAAAACACACACAGAACTCACAACACACACACAACACACACACACAACACACAACACACAGCACACACAACACACAACACGCACATGGATGGATGTAATAGATGGTGCCCCCCCCCACGGCGGATCCAGGCCATTTGCGAGCGTCCTCTTCTGCGAGTAGTGGAACATTCTTGCCTACTCTTCGTATCGTTTGACCGATCCCCACCGCACCCTTCCCGTCTCCATGCCGATCCCCACCATCCCAGCACACCGGTTGGGGACATACCATTGGAGACCCGGAGGAGAAAACCTATTTAAGTATCCCCATCAATAGAGGTAGATTGGCCAGTGGTGCCCAGGCCCCGCCAGTGGGGATAATGAATCGGTTGAACGATGCTCCGCCTTGTCGGTCGCGGCTCACCGCGCCAAGCGTGTTTTTTGCCGCGCCGCCGGGCGCTCTTCTCACGGCGTTTTTCGGCCCTGCCTGTTTTAGCTCCTGCCTACCTTCCCTGACATCCGACGCCTCGATTTTTTCGAGACGCGCCCACGACCTTCGATCTAAGTCGGGCTTGTCCCTCTACAGGAGGAGTATTCAAAAGTAGTCAAGGAATAGTGTGGTGACGATTTTTCCACCATTTCTGATCATCTATGATAATGTTTGGAATACTTTCGATTTTTCATCCAAAAACGCCTGCAGAAGGACATGTCCGACTTAAACCTCTCGATCACCTCCCCGCGGCCGGTTTCTCATCCCGAGTCGTTTTCTGATGGTCCAGGGGCCCAAGGGCCCCCCGAGGCCGAAAACGAGGAGAAAATTCGTCCCTATTCTTTCGAGATTCTGGACGTCAGTTTCCTCTTTCGCCTTCTATCTCCCCCACGTTGCCGTCCTCCTACTCTTCCGCCTCTTCCTGCTCCTGCTCCGATTCTTCCTCCGCGCCTCTGCATCCTCTTTCCCCTTGTCCTCTCTTGCTGTTGTTGCTGCTGCTGCTCCTCCTCCTCCTCCTCCTTCTCCTCCTCGTCCTCCTCCTCCTCCTCCTCCTCCTCCTCCTCCTCCTCCTCCCCCGCCCCCTCCTCCTCCTCCTCCTTCTCACCCCTCCCCTGCCCGTCATCACCGTAATCATTCTCCTCCTCCTCCTCCTCCTCCTCCTCCTCCTCCCCCTCCTCCTCCTCTTCCTTCCGCTCCCCCTCCTCCTCCTCCTCCTCCTCCTCCTCCTTCTCTCCTCCTCCTCCTCCGTCCTCCTCCTCCTCCTCCTCCTCCTCCTCCTCCTCCTCCTCCTCCTCCTCCTCCTCCTCCTCCTCCTCCTCCTCCTCCTCCTCCTCCTCCTCCTCCCCTCTCCTCCTCCTCTTCCTCCTCCTCCTCCCTCCTCCCCCTCCCCCTCCTCCTCCTCCCCCTCCCCCCCCCCTCCTGCCCCCCCTCCTCCTCCTCCTCCTCCTCCTCCTCCTCCTCCTCCTCCTCCTCCTCCTCCTCCTCCCCCTCCCCCTCCTCCCCCTCCTGCTCCTCGCCCGACCTGCCCGCCCGCGCGTCCCGCCGAGGTGGCGACCCTGGTGGCAGAGGCGATCGAGCAGGCGAGCGCCGCCCCGGGGGCCCGGGGGGGCCTCCTGCGGGTGGGGGGTGACAGCTGGCGTGCGCTGCGGCGCAGGAGGAGGAGGAGGAGGAGGAGGAGGAGGAGGAGGAGGAGGAGGAGGAGGAGGAGGAGGAGGAGGAGGGAGGAGAGGAGGGAGGAGGAGGAGGAGGAGGAGGAGGAGGAGGAAGAGGAGGAGAGAGGAGGAGGAAGAGGAGGAGGATATGGGGAGGAGGAGGAGGGGGAGAGGAGGAGGAGGAGGAGGCGGAGGAGGAGGAGGAGGAGGTCGGACAAGTAGGCGGACCAGGGTCCGTCCGCGAGGCGCACTGCGGTGCGACAACTCGCATGCACTATTTGCGGCGGTGCAGCCTTAAGATACGAGGGCGGGCTACAAAACCCCCTCCCCCGGCGCAGTGCGACTGACGCTACAGACGGCGGACAGACGATGAAGATCTCACCTGACAGACCGCGTGAGGTAAAAGGCCCCAACAAGAAAGGCGACGTGCTGGCACGTGGCTAGGCGGCTTGGCGGACCGCCAGTTGGGCGCTTGGCCGCTAAGCGGCGCGCAGTGACGGGGCACCCCCCGCCCCCACGCCCTGACACCGTGGACGCGGAGCCACACGTACACACGGGCAGGCAGAAAGGAGGAGATTAGCGCGGGGCACCAGGTGGAGCGCCGCGGAACGATGACAACATAGCTTGGATGTTGAGTGACGGCACGACACCATCGGGCGAGGTCGTGAGCAGCTCGGCGAAGGCTCGCCCAGCGCTGTGGAGGCGCTGGAGTAGAGGTCCTTGACGAGCTTGGGCAGCGGCGAGGTCCGCGGCGAGAGCTAAGCACCTCTGCTGAAGGGCAGCCATAGCCTGTGACAGCTCGGTTTCACGGTCGGTGAGAGGTGGCTGCTCAGTGACATCCGCCGAGGATCCCGAGACAGAGGCGAGGTCCTCGGTACGCCTGTCCAGGTGGGCTAGCGGCGTGCGGGACCCTGAACGCTGATGTCCGTCACCCTTGAAAGGTGAGTGGAGGGGCCGGCGCGACCCCAGGGCTGGAGCCGCTAGGGCCGCGCCCCGAGAGGTCAGGGGAGCCGCTTCCTCTCGCTCAGCTACGGAGGAAGCGTGGGTGGGGCACGAGGGCCTGTCTGGCTTAGTACCCTGCGGGGGGGCTGAAGCCGCCCCCGCGGGTCGCTGGCGATGGGGAGGCGGAGTGGTATGCTCGGTGGGACCAGTCGTGATGCCGTGCAAGGCCGCTGAGGTCGGTCGCGTAGAGGGTTGGTGTCTCGGTGGGGCGGCATGGTCGGCAGCGTATGGTGTCGGCGGTGCGTCCTCAATGCCACTCAGTCCTCGGGGGGCACCAGGGTCGTGGTCGGCGTCTTGGCGGTGACCGATGTCGCCGTATGTGGGCGTTAACGCTCTTGGGGACGGCGTCGCAGTGGGGTTTGCGAGGTTTCCCGACGGGGCGGGGTTTTCGTTGGCTGGTCCGTCGTCCAAAGCGTCCGATCCCCCACCGAGGCTGAAAAGGTCATCGTTTTGCTCATCAGCGTCTTGGAAAGGAACGGCGTTGTCATGTGGGTGGGCTGACGCACTCAATGGCGGAGTCGGGGGCGCCGTGCGGGTGCCCGCCGGGGCAGGGTTGGCGCTGGCTGACTCATCGCCCAGGAAGTCCAAACCTCCACCAAAGCCGAACGGGTCGTCCTCCTGTTCGTCGAATAACACCCGTTGGGCCTCGGCCCAGAGCTCGTCGGGGTTTTGTGGGATGTCTGGTCCAGCCGCGGGTGGAGCCTGGTCAGACAGCAGGGGATTTGGTTCCATTTTGTTTAGTTCTGCAGCTGTGAACCCAGCCCTGCGGTGTGGGAGAGGAAGTGTACGATGTCTCCGCTCGTAGATGGCAACGGCGACTCCATGGAGCACGGTCGCTTGGCGGTGTCGTGCTTTGGCAGCTTCAACGATGTCGTCTGGAAGGTTATGAGTACGTGCCGCCGCTGTGGCGAGGGCGTCAGCCTGACGATTGAACTCCTCCGCGATGGGCCCGATGAGCCCGAGGTCGATGCCCGTGTCGCCCTGGTGGCTAGCGACTTTCTCTACGCGGAACATGTTTGGCTTGGCCATGACACATCGGTGGACCTTTTCCCAGAACTCCACGTGCGTGCCCTGCGGAGGTGAGTGTCCGTCGATGATCCTTTGGAAGCCGTCGACCACCGCCTGGTTGTCCACGAAGACGTGTACGGGCCGTTCAGCACATGCCGTGAGGTGGACAATGGCGAGGGTCTCCGCAAGCTGTGCGTTCTGCGTGATGCCGTGAACGCGCGCACTGTAGTTCATGCGGTGGTCGATGCCGTAGTAGACGCCGTAGCCCGCTCTTGCAAGCAAAGGGATGGCTTGGTTGGTGCATGCACCGTCCGTGGCAGCGTAGACCCATGTCCAACCAGTGTCGTGGTCAAGGTAGGTGGTGTAGGAGTCCTGGGCTGAAGCCGCAGGATCTCCCTCAGGCGGGGGCCGCGGTATGGGTTGAGGTAGCGGGTCCCTCGCGAGGTCGGCTTGCAGATCGAGGAGGGCTGGGTCCTCATCGAAGAGCCCGCAATGTCTTGTGTGCGGAGGAAGACGGGCCCACTGCTCGTCACTGATGAGGGTGGTGAGAGGGACTCTTTCACGGGCCCAGCACTTGCAGTCACGCACAGTGTGCTCCTGGGTTTCCTCTTCCTCATCACAGTAACGGCAAATAGGGCTGGGGTCAGCGGACGTATTTGATCGAGAACGTCGCTGTTGGGTGTGGTCCCCGCCCGACAGGTAATTTAAAAGGAGCGCCAGCTGCCATGCGTTGCATTTGGCAGCTCCTTTGGTGCGGGCGAGCCACGTGCTGGCGAAAAGGTCGAGGCCCTGTCTGACCGAAGCCAGGTGTCCAAGGTCATGCCGCCGTGGCTTGATTTTTCTCAAAAAGGCTCTGCGTTGCGAGGCGCGCAGCATGTGAAGGAAGGCGTTTTGGGGGAGGTTCAGCCAACTGATCTGACAGCCCCAGTCGTCGTACATGGTGCCAAATGTGGGCCAAGTCCAACGGAGCTGCTGAAGCGTCTGGACAAGTCGTCCAACAGGTCCTCCCCCAAAGAGGGTCTGGACATGGTGTTGGAGATCCCTGACGAGGCCGCAGAGAGTGGCGTCGCGGTTGACCTGTCGCCGCAGGCACAGGAAGACTTCACGCTGCATAATGGCGTCAATCTCCAGGGCGTGCCCTGGGACGCACACGGCCATGAGAGTCCAAAACTCGACCCACCTGTTTCCCTTGGGGCGGATAGCCGCCTTAAGGGCATGGTTGTAGGCAGTTTTGACGGGGCCTGATGGGGCTTGGATGTCAGTGCCCGTGGTACAGACGCTGGCAGCAAGGGAGCGGGCGTGCCGCGCCTTAATACGCATCGGTGATGGGAGCTTGCCAATACGCGGCAGACGACTAGTCGCCCTGCGAACACGGGCGTCAGCGGTGGCCGTGAGGTTTGAGCGCGGCTGGAGCCGGCGCTGCCTCGGCGTTGATGTAACTTCCGACGAGCTTGAAGGAGTCGACCACGCGTAAGGGCCGTTCCGCCAAGGTGAGCTGGGTAACGGCGGTGTGAAGCTCGTCAGTAAGCGCCCACCCCGCCACTTTTCCAGGATGAATGCGTTGACCAGAAAATCGATCAAACTTGGCGGTTTCATCAAGAGATTTCTGCAACTCGGGCGCGGTGTGGGTAGTGGAGTTGCTGTCGTCAACAAAAGTAGTGCTGAGTGACCGCGGCACGTAGCGATGCTGTCTCTTGGTCCAGACGCACATGAGCAGCTTAATGTCGTCCAGGGACCAAGAGCTTCCCTGGAGGTGACCGTTTGTCCTGGCCAGTTCCTTAGAGTACGCACCGTTCATGCGGATGTAACGTTTGTGGCGCCTGTAGAAGTTTCTGCGGACAGTAACGATGTCTTGGGGGCACCCCGCGTGAAGCGCGAGGTTAAGGCATATGTCCGTGATGAGATAGTCGAAACACTTCTGACGGTCCAGGGCAGCTCCAGCCAAGGGAAGGAGAAGGGCTCTGGCGTGTTCAATGCGAAGGGCGAGAGAAGTGCTGACGTCCCCAATGGTAGCTTTGGGAACAGCGCCAAAACTCGTGGCGTGGGTCCATCCTTTCCGCCAGTCCGTGAGGCTGCGGTAAGCTGGCGCTTCCCACGCATACATCCAAACGGAAAGCACCGAGAGAAGTCGTTGGTCCGTTGGGAGTTCGCCTCGGCCTTTTCGGAGGCACGGGTTTGGGACGTGGAGGAGGGGTTCTGGGATGGTGCCAGTGCGTTGCATAGCTCGTAGGACGCTGGCGAAGAGGCGAAGAATGTCGTCGGGAAGCTCCTTTGCCTCCTTAGTAGTCCAACCGTCCAGACCCCCCGCGCGTCTCGGTGAACGGGTGCGAATGAAGTGGATGAGTTGGTCGTCGGTGAGGTGGAAAGGGGTAGCTGGTGATGGCGTAGGCAGCTCCTGTCGGTACTCGTCGTAGAAGTCGGCCCACGTCGGCATGGCTTCGGCATCATGTCCCGCACGTGCGCGGTACCTGCCCAAGATGGGCTCCCAGGTGTCGACCATGAGCTTCAGCATGTCCTTGGTGTTAGCAACAATGGCGTTGGCAGGGAGGATGTCGGGGACTTGCGCAGGTGGAGGTTCACGGGTGTGGTCTTCGTCGCTGTCCGTGTCGGGCGAACTACCGTCGCCGGGGCTGAAGCCGCCAGCTTCGGTGTCAGCGTCGCTGTCGTCCGTGCAAGCTTCGTCAGGTTTAAAGGCGTTGGTGTCGCAGTGGAGTTGCGTATCGTCAGGAGTGGTAGGCGTGCGGAGATACGCCGTGGGCGAGCTATCAGCAGCTCGTGCGTATATGGCCGCCTTTCGCCCGCTTGGCTCACGGACGCCCTCGGCCCATATCCTGATGCGTTCCGCCTTGGCACGGTTCGCGCGTCGCGCCAGCTCTAAGTCGAGATGTTGGATCAAAACGTCAAGGTGCTCCCCGTGC